AACTAGTAATGCATTAGTCTACAGTATCGTCGTTACTCACTGTCAATGTTATACGCACATATATGAGTGGGTCTTGTTCTTCTGAAACATTGCCACGATATTCATTTTGCTTGAACACCAATCCACGACTCACGTCAATCATTGACACAAACACGTCAGTACTAGAATTGAGAGAAGGTTCAACGTTATTCCGTGAAGTATTTTTTTTATCTCAGCACAGTAGTCTCCATTTTCACAGATAATAAACCTGGCGTCTGTATCAAGTGCAATCACACTACTGTCATCAATGGAGAAGTTATTTTTGTCAATAGAGTACGTCAACTTTGGTAGTACTGTCAGCATCTGTAGCCTTTACTATCACAACTATGTCACATAATATCATGGTTTCGCCAATAGTGCATCCATACGTGCTTGCAAACTGATGTGCATTGCCATTGATGTCAGTGGCGGTGATTGTAACCTGACTTGACTATGTGTGTGACGGTTCGCTGTAATCTTTCGCAAATACTAAAATATACAATATGATAAACACTGCAGTAAAAACTATTTAGAGAGGAATATACTAGCGGCATTATAATATTAACATTCTTACCGTCAACTCTGCCATTTTAAACTGCATAATCAAGTGTCACAAGTGTTGTTCCTTCAGCTTAAATGATCAGAGAGATGCCATGGATTATACATTAATATTGTTATTGTTTTATAACTGAGATAAATACACACTGTTCTTGTATTTTGATAGTGATGTCAATGCACCATTTTCAGAAGTAGCACCCTCTGGCGACAAAACTAAGCAACATCGTACATGCGAATAAAACGCACGAATACAGCAAAGCGCCCTGTCACTGTAAGTAAACGTGCATATCAGTACGCTCAATCATCGATCTGCATATGTTGGCTCCAAACAACCTCTTAATTAGCGTGCCCTCACAGCGACTAAATGAACATAAGTAAACAAGTGAAATTGGCGCCGTTCACAAGATCACTTTGATTCCGACCAGTGGTCATTACCAATTATATCAATTATAGTTTGCAGGGGTTTATTGTATTGTATTGTTAGAGACTATAGTTGTATCTACTCAAAGTAGAATGTTTCAATTAATATGCCAGATATTAGACAATTATTGTGTACAGTGTATGTGGGTGTCTAGCGTTATTTGTAGTGTAAAAGGACAAAGTTTGCTCGGGGTTGATGGTCAAAACACTTGTTCAAACACGTTTTGACACAGACAGAGAGAGCAAACAACATGAGCAAATGGTTCACTAATAAATTGATATGGAAATATGCCGCTCATGTATCTGAACATTATCACGTACCAGATGGGGATTTCATCATTTCTCTAGGGAGTATCATCAAGTTGGTAGTTACCATCCACTAGTCCTTCGTAATAGTCGACTGCAAAATATGCTCCGCTACAATTAATTAAACAAAAGCAAATATTATCTCATATGCATGGAACTAACGATCGAATGAGTTTGTTCGTTCGCTACACCTGTAAGCTTCGTTAGCCTTCAAAGTATTCACCAAATCACTGGCCTCCCGTAGAATTTGAAAATAACTATTACTCAGACAGTTGCCAATAACATCTACCTAAATGGTTTGAAAATACTCGTGAGATGGGGCAACGATACGACAACGTAAATGTATCCCGGGTGCGCACCCCTATGCACAGTCGATCCAACTGGACCACGGCGGCGATCTAGCGTAGCGTTGTGCAAGCCAGGAATGCAAGACCGCGGCGTACCATTCACGGTGTGCCCCGGGGGTGTGCCGTTCGCTCGGGTGATCACTACAATGCTGTTCCAGTCTACGCGTCAGTCACTCGTTCACTCGCAATGTAAATGAATTAAATACAATAATATTTGATGGATTAAAACTAGTTTCTTTCTTAGTTTCTTAGTTGTCATCTAAGATTGTGAAAAAAAACAAATCCAGAAAGATATTTCATATTATTCAGATTCATTGGCCAGTGAACTGTTTCATTCACTGTAATTTTTTTTTCAAAATTTTCCGCTTTTAAGTGGCAACAAATCCACCGGTATTGACAACGCTACAAAATAATGACAATAATGAACTCCCCGACAACCCATAATGGACTCAAGCTCACGCCTCGTACATATATGTCGCACAAAGTACCCGCGGTCGTTCATTGTTGTTTAATTATCTCAAATTTTCGTCACTGGGTTGCCTCCTTACATCACGGATTTCAATTTCCCGGAGTCTCTAATAAATAACAACTGTGCATAAGATTGTGTTTATGGGAAATACACTCCTACATTGATGACAGAACCCCGTTGCAAAGTGGCGTTCTTTATAAGGCTTTTGTTGAACGCTCTGAAAAACTATGAATGTTACAATGTGAATAATATTTTATTTCTGGGAATTACGTGAGTGCTTAATGAGATCACATGACTAGCTCGTAGCTCAATAGCTCATTTACAAACTGTCTTCATCCAATTGAACAATGT